TAGCTTCGCTTACTTTCTAATAAGGATTCGCGATTAGGCTAGTAGCTATTTAGCTCCTTTTTATTCTCTATAATAAGTTATTTTACTATAATAAGTTATTATTATAGCTCTACCTTCTTTATAAGGGCCTAGATAGTCTCTTCTAGTTCTTTAGTGGTAGCTTTAGCTAGTTCTAGGCCGATCTATTCTAATTCTAGGCTTTATATAGCCCTAACTAGGGGATCCTATAGATCTAGTGGTAGATCTAGTCTTTCTATTAGTTAAGTCTTATAGATAGTTTAAGTTTCTAGTTCCTTAATTTCTTAGACTTATAGTATTAGTCCTTAGTTATTCCCGATTTAAGAGGTTTCCTCTAGATTTCTAGTATTACTTTAGGTAAGATAGCGGGAAGCTATTATATCTTAGGTAGTTAAAGAAGAAGAGTTAGAAATATAAGAGTATACAATTATTAGGTATAAGGCCTATTAACTAGGTAAGATATAAGGCTTAATAATTAGGAGAGAGGATTAAATATATTTTTTAAGTTATAAGACTAACTCTTATAGGAGGGAATAGGATCCTAAGGATCTTAGGGTTCTTATACTTGGATATAGTACCCCGTATTTACCTGAACCGAGTACCGAGCCGATTACGAATCAACCCCGCTTTGACCCCGGGACGTGAATGATGTGCTTAGGTAGATAACTAAGTATCAGAATTGAAAGGACCTTTATCCTTTACAATAATATAGTTAATAAATAGTTAGGCTATCTATTTAGTATTTATATCTTTATAATAAGGAATAGAGATTAGTCTTTTATTTAATTAGTTAATAATAAAGATAGTATTATAACTATAATAATCCTTAGGGAATAAATAAAAATCTATAGAGAGATACTACTAAGATCTCTTAGGTATTAGTAGGGGTTATAATAATCTAGGTATTTAGTCTCTCTAAGTCTTTATCTACTTATAGACTAGATAGTTATTAATATATTACTTTATATTAGTTACCTATCTATACTAGTGGTATCTTATAGATATTAGTTTCTTTAGTTTCTTAACTCTAGGATATATAGTTAGTAGTTAATAGTATATTTTATTAAGTAAATATATAAAGAGATCTCCTTTATTAGGGACCTTAAATTATTCTTTATAAAGGAGTAATTTTAGTACTATCTATAATTAGACTATATAAGTCTTTTCTAGGTTAATAGCTATACTATTAGTACTTATAATAAACCTAAGGAACTTAGTCTTCTTTATAGAGAACTTAGATTTTAGTAAAGTAACTTACAACCCTACTTTTTATAGATAACTAAGTATCTCTCTATCCTATCACTAATAATCTTTAATATTCTTACTATAGATTAAGATATTATCTATAAAGGTAACTATATATTTATCTAGATATTCTTAAAGAATATTATTTATAAATCTCTAAAAGGTTATAGGTCTATTTATTAATCTAAATAGTATTACTTTATATTTAAAGGATCTATATCTTATATAGAATATAATAAGGTTCTCTATCTCTAGTACAAGGGATCTTGGTGGCCTTCGGCCACCAGATACACCTTGTGAAGCGAAGTGACTTATTAGTACGGAGGTCGCTGCCAAAAGTTAATGCGCAGCCATTTGAGCGCTAGTAATAAATTATTCCTAATAAAGTAAGGCTGTTTTTATCCCATGTTTATGCTTCGTCTCAAATTGATAATTAAATACGCTATTTTCTCTCTCTCTCTGCAAACCCCCCCCATTTCTCTCACTTCTCTTTACAACTATCCCCTTCCCTCTTTGTATTCATTACCCCCTTCCAATGCAATTATCTTTTCAATATAGAGGGGGATTCGCTCAATCCAAGCCTAGATTTTCTACTAAGATAATTCAGCCCATACTTTCTCCGAGGCCTTAATTACTTTAGCCCTGGATTTCGGTGTACCTTTTTTTGTGGTTTATCTCTTTAGATAGAACCACGCTAGTTCTATTATATTTATATAGTACCGATACCAATCGATTCTACCTTTTAGGGTCTTTGTCCCTGCACCCCAAGAATCTCCTATTGCACCCCGATTAGTCACCATAAAATTACATAATACCCACCCCATCGGAATAAATAGGATAAAAATCACATGACCGGCAACCTCACACATCAGATCTCCCATTGTAATATATCAGATTTATATACAAAAGCCTCAATTTATCCGCATTGGGCAGTTTTTAAACGTATGATTCCTCTCCCCACAGGCCGAGCACCTGCTTGGGGCCTTCTTCCGCTTGATTGGGCGCTCCTCCTGCCTAAATAGGCAATTTGCGTCCCGTTTTGGCTGTGGTATCCTTGGGGGGAGGATTAGGACTAATTAAGTGCCTGGAATCGTTTTGATATACCAAAATGCGTCGATATCGCTGAATCTGATTAGCTTATTTGATCTGATAAGATCAGATAAGTAGTGCTTGCATGGAAGCCCCATAGAGCGAGTGAAATACCCAGAACATAGCCCAATTTCGCTAGGTTGGAGTGCTAATTCACGTTGGTGATAGATCAATCTAATAGCATGATTAGATATATAAGCCCTAACCAAGTCATATAGCTGAAACGTTGCTATCTTTGGTATAAGGATCTTATCAGATTCAATCTTAATCTGGATTCCTGCTTATTGCTATATGATAACCTTATCAACTGCATTAAAAACAGTTCAAAGGTCTCCATTTACACCATTTAGCTCCGCTTTTAGCTGAACATGACAGCCTTCGGAGCGAGAACTCGCTATATTACCGAAATGGGTAATATCCTTCACTAAGAATCGGATGAATTTCTGTTTATAGGTTAGCCACGTAGTAAATAGATAGTTAATTAGCTTAGGGTAGGGTTTAATCATAGATATAAGGTTAGATAACCTTAAATTATACTCATCTTCAGTATTTGACTGGCATAAATCCTTCCATTGTGTCATAAAAGCCTAAAATTCAATATTTTCATCTGAATTTTGACTATTACCTGCTATAATAGTCTTAGCTTTTGCTAATACTGCTTTATTAATATGCCAAATACAGAGTAAATGGCTATAATCAGATAAAACAGTCTCAATTGCTCCGATTAATGCTAAATCACGGTCAGTAATTAGTACTGTATTATAGGGTAAACTTAGCCATTCATAAAATAAGGTTCGAAGTACCCAAATATAGCTATCCATTTACTCATTTTGCATAAAACAAATAGCAAATAAGAAGCTCTGATTAGTAGGAGTAATACTAACCACTTCTAAAAAGGGTAATTGATATCGATTGGTCTTATATGTACAATCTAGTACAAATACCCTATTATATTGATTAGCTAGTGATATTGCAGCGGGGTGGGATATAGCTAAAAATTCAATTTCATTATCAGATGAAACCTTAGTTTTATACTTATATTGTTTTATCTCTAATTAAGATATCAAAAACTCAATTTTAGACTGAAAGCCTTGTTTTTGACGTCGATATGTGTATATCTGATTGTAGATATCCTGGGGTTTGATTGGCTGTAAGGACGTATTTTGGACTGTTTGTATGATTTTCTTAGGCGGAATAGCTATATCAGATAGCTCTTTAATCTTATCAACCTGATAAGATTGAAGCTTTCGGGCCTGAGGGTAAACTATTGGATTATTAGCAGGGTGGTTATGATCTGAATTCCGGATTTGGAGGTGCCATTTGCTATTTTTAATACTTGCATATAGCCAAAAAGGACAGCCTTTCCTTTTTGAGCTAGTCATCCGAGGTTTTTGACCAATTGTAGGCTTTTGATCCCATCTTGGCTCGCCTGATTCGACACATTGTATAGTCACAGATCTGCCTGGATTACTCCGCTTGATAGCAGTGCAATAGCCCTATGATAGGGCATGCTTCTGTACCATTTCGAGCAATTCATCGCGAGTATCATATACCGCTTCGGGGGGGGAGAAGCGCTAGTAAAGCCATTGAATTAGTATAAAATATAGGTAAGGTGGAGGTGGTATACTTACCCATAGTGGGGTCGACAGAGGTGGGGTTGATTGCAGCCATTTTTGCAGCGGTTGATTGGATTAGATCAATAGAAATCAGATGATTTATATAGAAACTAGGGTGGAGAGAGAGAGAGAGAGAGAGAGAGAATGGGGGGGAGGTGGTATTTATATCGTATACAGTGGTTGCTATGGGAGATCTGATATATGAGGTTGCTGGTCATGTGATTTTCGTCCTATTTATTCCGATGGGGTGGGTATTATGTAATTTTATGGTGACTAATCGGGGTGTACTAGGAGATTTTTGGGGTGCAGGGACAAAGACCCTACCTTTTAACTTTAATTAAGTAAGCTTTCCGGTTTTTATATTCTAATTCTACTTTAGTTTCGTTCTAGGTTTTTACCTTAAACCTAGTCTTCGAAGACTAGATTATAGCTCCTATTCCTCCTAGAGTATAGGTTCTAACTTAGTATTCTATTTTTTAATTGATATCTTAGATTCTCGCTTTTCTATAGTAGTTTTAGGCCACTAGTAGTGATAGGGGCCTTTCTTATTATAAGAAAAGCTACCCTAGAATATAAACTCTAAAGTACCCTTCTAATATTTATTTTATAACTTTAAAGATATCTTTTATCTCTTATACACTAGATTTAGTACCCTCTATATTAGTGTAATAGAATAATAGAGGTTTTATCTATCTAGATAACGTTCTTCTAATCCTCTAAAGTTTAGTCTCGGTATTTAAGACACTAAGCTAATCTTACTTTATATATAGCTTTTATTACGCTAGGCTTTTAGGTAGGCTTTATCTTTTATAACCTAGCTTTCTAGAGGATTCGCTAAATCATACTAGTAGAGATATTAACCCCTTTATAGCTAATTTCTCTAGTAATATCTATATAGTTTTTTTCTCGCCTATAACGATTAAGGCGGACCTTTAAGAGTACCTTTTCTTTTATCTCCTTAGTCTACTTTTTCGGACGACTAGAGCGGGGTATATTAGTAAGTATAGTATTAGAGATATTCTAAGGCCGTAACTACGGATCAAAGCCTTTTGTAAGAGCTATTTTATATATACGGTCAATTATACACTTTGATATACTAAGTAGCTCCGAAAGCTGAGTAGTAGAAAGGCCAATTACTTTGCTAGTCACTATAGCAGAACGTTTAGTAAGGTTGTGGCCTATGGTTATAGGTATATCAATAGGAGAGGGTATGTCGATAGGAGAATAGGAGAGAAAAGAGGGGTAGTAACAAAAGTACTATACAGTAATATTACAAAGTAGTATTTTATTCGAAAAAGTAAATAAAATTCTGCGCATTAATTTTTGGCAGCGACCTCCGTAGTTAGTTAGTTAGTTAACGTATTCCACATGCGAGCTGCGCACACAAGCGAGCTGCGCAGTCCCAAACACATAGTAAATGCGATAAATTACGACTTGATATTTCAACCACTATACTATGTTCTATAAAGATTTCGCCCGATGGCCTCCTACTTTTTAGGTTATATTTGGTCTCTTTACGGGATTTGAAGGAAGTCTCTAACTTCATAATTGAGATATATATATTTCTAGTTTTTAGTAACGTATTTTTTTGGTAATTTTTGTAATGATAATAATATATCTATTTAATATCTTTAAAATTGACATATGGTGCTAATAAGGTTTATCGATAGCTATCGACAAATAAGGAGCCAAAATAATGACATGGTTGTTGAAATATAAATGTAGAATATATCGCATTTACTATGTGTTTGGGACTGCGCAGCTCGCATGTGGAATACGTTAGTGACTGTGTGTTGATTACGTAATCACAGCTGGATTTAGATTCGCCAGTTTATATCACGTAATAAGAACTTTCAGTACTAAGGCCTCTGGTACAGAGGCCCGGCAGAATTATTCTACCATTTCTCAGCGATCATTTTTCACCGCATTAGAATCCTATGGATTTGGACCTCATAGGAGCAAGGTCATGTGACATACACCTGAGCCCTTATGATATGGGTTGCTTCGCTTCGCTCCGCAATTAAATAAATTTAGTAAAAGCTATACTAGATATTAAGTTTTATATAGATCTTAGCCTTACTTATTTATTATAGTACCTTATTAATTAGTAGTAGAGGATAGTAGTCTTTCTTTATAATTATATTTAATCTTTAGAAATTAATATAGAAGTAATATCCCCTATTAGGTTTTCTTACTATTAAGATTAGGGATATATATAGAGCTAAACTTAGAATAATAAATCCTTTTTAAGATTATTAAGGATATATTTCTTTACTACTTTTAACTCTTTAAGTGATAGCTTATAGAGAGGATAATATCTAGGTTATACTTCTATTCTACTTTAAGTAGGTTATACTTCTACTTTAAGAATAATATTATAATCTACACTAGGTCTATAGGGTAGTAACTTATTAGATTTTCTCTTTAAAAAGACTTCTACTAGGTTATAGTATTCTTTTAGAAGAGTTCTTAGGATTTAATTAATTTTAGGGTCCTAAGTCTATATACTCTTTATCTTAATAATGTAGTTAATCTTATAGAGTAAAGTAATAAAGCTTTCGATTTCTCTATTAACCTTTCTTTTCTTATAGAGTCTATTAAAACTAATATCTCTAATAGTACTAATATCGATTATTAGTAATTTATCCTATTATTAAGTCTTTAAGACTACTATCTTACTCTTATTATCTAGATTACAGCCTATCTTTTATTCTTTAATCTACTAATATCTATACTATTACTAGGGATTGGACGAATGAGGGGTTTTTGCAAGTGTTGGGCAATGGGTTGGGAGCTACTGGCATATATATATAGTAATTCCTATATATATCTATAGTTATCCTTTATTTTTAATTCTTTTCAGCTAAAAAGATAATCTTATTAATTAATACGAGGGATCTTGGTGGCCTTCGGCCACCAGATAGTCCTTGTGGAGCGAAGTGACAAGGTTTTTACCTACTTAGGTACTGGTTTTTTTTTTATATAATCACTATCGTATTTAGATTCAGACGGTTTATATCATGTGATAAATAATTTCAATTGCTGGGCTTGGTGTACAACATATATCTACTGCCGGCAGAATTATTCTGCCATTTCTCAGCGATGACATTTTCGCCGCATTAGAACTCTATGGATTTGGACCTCATATAGGAGTAAGGTCACGTGACGCATACCCAAGCCCTTATGATATGGGTTACTTCGCTTCGCTCCGCAATTATAACGATCTAGAAGGTGGATCTTTTCTACTAAAAAGATTCTACTAGATATTTCTATCTTAATAGAGCTTATCTTATTTAAATATTTAGTGCTATAAGAGTACTATAGCACTCCTATAGCACTATATTAGGGCTATTATAGGAGTTAGAGGTAAATAGCTAATAGATATTAAGATCTATATTTAGCTTTATAATATATCTACTACTATACTAATATAGTAGACACTCTCCCTATTTATTTTTAGTTATATTAGTTATAGATTTTATCTAGGTAGGCTATTTATACTTTCTATTTTCCCCTTTACCTTATACTATATACCTATATATACTATTTACCCTTAAGCTTTAATATATTATATTTTAGATAGTACATTAAGGTTAGCCCTTCTTTGTAGGTATATTTATCGTAAATTAGATATCTAGACTATATCACTAACTATAACTTTCTTTTATATAATTTAATATATAATCCCCTTACTCGTAACTAGTTAACTAGGTAATAAATACTAAATCCTAAAGCCCCCTTAATCCTTAGTATTCTAGAGTTCTAGGCTCTATATACTATTACTACTCTAATAACCCTTAAATAAATCAGCCCTAGAGCTAAGAAGCTTTAGGTATACTATTTAAAGATAAATAAAATATAATTTATTAAGTAGTAGCGATACACTATATATACCTAACTAAATACTTTATAATATAAAGTAAACTTTAATATAAATTATATATCACTATAATAGGAGCACTTTAACTAGGTTATACACTATTAGGCTAGATAGCTAATAGCACTTTATCGATAATATAGAAAGGTAATTCCTTATCTATTATAGTCTAGAGGTCTTTACTTATTAAAAAAGCACTATAAGAGTAAGACCTATTACTAGGGTAGAAGGAGTTCTTCTCTTTAGTAGATATTAAGGTAATCGCTATATTTTATAGTAATATACACTATTATATCTTAAAATAAACTATATACTAATTTAATATATCCTAGTCTAAGTATCCTTCGGAGTAGAAGACTACTTTTAATACTAAGGACTAGGAACGAATTTATATTAATTTAATTATAATATATTAATACCTCTTCTAGTTCCTCGAAAGGCTAGAAATATTTAAATTTATTCGATTTACTTACCTTTGAAAAGATATACCTCTAATCTTAACTCCTAAGATAGTATAGTATCGCCTATAAATAATAGTTAAGGGGGATGATTAAAAGGCCCTTTCTCTTTTACTAAAGAATACTAAGCTTTTAATAGCACTTAACTACTAGACTTTACCTTTTTAATAAGTATTTATAGTAATTACTAGCTAGAATTATTATAAGATACTACTAGGCTTTAAGCTAGTATATAGTTAGTATATAAGGGATCTTAGTGGCCTTTAGCCACTAGATAGTCCTTATAGAGCGAAGCGATAAGGTTTTTACCTAGTTAGGTACTAGGTTTTCTTTATATAATCACTATCGTATTTACGGAGGTCGATCGCGATAGTTGAAGCCTATATATTTAACGCTAGTGATAAATTAGTCCTAATATAGTAAGGCTATTTTTATCCTATATATATACTTTGTCTTAATTTACTAATTAAATACACTACTTTCTTAGCCCCCCTCCTAGGGCCCCCTATATTTCTCTTATTTCTCTTACTTTCTTACTCTCTCTACTTACCCCCCTTATCCCTCCCTTCTTTATACTTATTTTATCGGATACTATAGGTATCTAGGTATATAGATTAAATATATTTAATATACTATTATATTTAGTAGTATAAATAGGATACTAAGATCCTATTTATACTTACTTTCTCTTCTTCTCTCTCTCTTAGTCTTACTTCTAGATAGAGAATATTATTATCTTCTCTATTATTAGGTTATAAGTGCCTTTTTATACTAGTTTAAAGACTCCTAGCACTCTTCTATACTAGTTTATCTAGTGGTTTCTTATTAAAGGAACTATATCTCCTTATCTAGGAGATTTATTAGGATTTCTTATTAAAAGAGATCTATATCTTACTTAGTTTATACCTTATCGATAGGTAAAGTAAACTAAAAGTAAGGTATTATTCTCTTAATTTAAGATATATCTTAATATTAGAGAGAGCAGACTAATTTATACGAAATAATCACTATAGAAAGCTCTTAGAGTACCTAAGTACCTAGTATTCTAGGTACACTAGCTAATATACTAGTAGAACTAGAGGTTCCCCACTATTAAGGAACCGATCTCCTAGATAGAGCGAAGATCGATATTAATAAGATTAACGCCCTAGAATATAATATAATAAGTCTAAGGAGCTAGGAATTAAGAGTTAGAATAACCCTTAAACTAAGAGGATTTAGTGACTTAATTAAAAGTGAATTCCCTTATCTAGACTAAGTAGATCTATTATATATAAGATTAGTTTATCAGTTATTAATTATTAGTACTTAGCTATTCCTATAGGTTAATTAGAACCTATAAAGATAGATTAAGAATCTTATATATATTCTAGAAGAAGCCGATACTGTATTTAACTAGATAATAAGTATAGTTTAAGGTAGGGATAAAGTAGATAATTATAGAGTGAAGTGAAGTAACCTATATTATAAGGGCTTAGGTATACGTAATATAACCTTACTCCTATATAAGGTCTAAATCTATAGAGTTCTAATATAGCGAAAATATTATCGCTAAGGAATAGTAGAATAATTCTACTAGTAGTAGATATACACTAAGCCTAGTAATTAAAATTATTTATTATATAATATAAACTATCTAAATCTAGTTAAATATAATAGTGATTATATAAAAAAAACTAGTACCTAAGTAGATAAAAACCTTATTACTTCGCTCTATAAGGACTATCTAGTGGCTAAAGGCCACTAAGATCCCTTATATATATAATAAGTGGTAGAAATACTTTAAAATTAAGCGATTAAGCTTTAATATTACTTATAGGTTTATTCTTTAAATATAAAACTAACACTATATTATTCTAAGGTTTAAAGTTAGTCCCTATCCTTTTTAAATATTATCTAATATACTTAGGTAGTTATATAATAAAGTCCTAAAGAATAGCTTTATTCTTAAAGAGATTAGTAAGATTAAACCTAGTACTATTAACGATATAAAACTTAATTAATATCTCTAGGAAATCTAAGTAGTGGCTAATCTTAATAGTATATCTAATACTAATCGCTAAGCTAGATATAGATCAAAATCAAAATATAGTGGCTAAGGAGGTAACTATAGAGGCTATAGGGGAAATAATAATAATAATACCTCTATACCTAAAGATAAGAATAAAGACTCCAAAAAGAAGAAAGGCCTTTATAATTAGCCTCTAGCTAGAAAGGATATTTATAAATACGCTTATAAGAAATGTGAGGGAATATAGAAAGATAAGAATAGTATATACTCCTACTATAGGTATAGTCCTTATCCTATAAGATAATATACCTATATCTTAGAGGCACCGCTAGCTTTATAGATAGGTAGTAAGTAGGTTTAGACCTATAGTATTACTATAAAGGCAGAAGGTAGAAGTAATATAGCTATTATAGTAGCTAGCCCTAATTTTAGGCTTAATAATTAGCTTCTAGATATAGGATCTAATAAAACCCTAACCTATAATTTTAATAATTTCTATACCTATTATTAAGATAATCTAACTACTACCTATATATATAAGGACTACTCTAGTAAGAGAGTTATTACTTAGGGATATAGAGAAATCCTAGTTAAAATAGTCCTATAGAATAGAATAATCTATTCCTTCTTAACCTAGGGTTATTTTAGCCCTAGTGGTTATAGGAAGCTTCTTAGGATATAGAAACTTCTTTAAGATTAAGATATATCTTATAATATAAGATCGAATTTACTTACTAATAGTAATAGAAATACTATTAGTTATACTAAAATAATATCTAGAGTTCTATATCTAGTTTTACCCACTAATTATAGTAAAGAAAGTAAATAAGGTTAACTATATAATTTTAGTATCGTTAACTAAGTAACTACTCTAGAGATATATAAATAGCTTAGTTATACTAGAAAGGCGAAAATCTTATTAATACTAAGCTATATAGAGGAACTTAGTAATAATAAAAGATATAGAACTAGGTATTTTGACTATAAGGCCTATTTCCTAGGTAAGTTAAAGTAAAAGATCTCCTAAGATATCTAGGAATAAGTATAGGATACTATATAGAAGTTCTATATTAATACTTAGCCTATAAAGCCTATAGGTATAAATAGAGAGAGATACTAGTTACTAATAGTCGATAATATAACTTACATATTAAAGGAATTATACTCACTAATAAAGGAGAGGCTTTTATTAAATTAACCTCTTTTTGTGAGAAAATTAAGCTCCTTATAGGCTAATTAATACCTAGGGATCTAGTAAATAGATAGTAGAACTAAGTTTAAAAACTTTATTAACTAGGGGGTAAGGTATAGTATAACTTTTAAAGTTATACCCCCCTATATAGCCTAACTAAATAGTATTATTAAGAGATTTAGGGGTTATATTAATAATACTTAGTAAATAATAATTATTAACGCTAATATACGTAAAGATATATAGCCCTATATAGTCGATACTACTATCTATATTATAAATAGATTAGTTAGCCCTAAAACTAAGATATCGCTATTAATATATTAGAGAAGAGGGCTTAATATCCCGAATCTAGAGCTAATATTAAAGTACCTTCTACTATAGGGATCCACTACCTATATATATATCCTAAGAGCTTAACGCACCTAGGTAAAAAGGTAGCCCTAAGGGTATAGAAAGGAATACTAGTCGGTTATAAGGGGGATAATAGTTATATATTTAAAGTCTAGGACCCTATTAGTAAGAAGGTTAAAGTTTTAAGGGATATAGGTCTTCTATAACTAGGAGATAACAATTCTAATAGAGATCTACCTTCTTATATAAAGGTACTAGTGCTAGAAGGACCACTAGGTAATAGTGGAGGCTATATTAGCTTTCTCGATACACTAGGATCTAATTAGATTTACCCCTTATAGCTAGTGGAGAAGTCGATCCTAAGAGACACTCTTCTTATACCCTGAGTAAGAATCTTAGAGTTTAGACTCTACCTATAATACTATGACTATAAAAAGTATTACCTATATCACTAGTGATAAGGCCTAATATCTTTCTAAGGAGTGTAATTCCTACTATAATAATCTAGAAGGTAGATCTTTTCTACTAAGAAGATTTCCGCTAAAAGGATTCTACCGAATCTTTCCGCCTTAATAGAGTTTATATTGTTTATATACTTAGTGGTGATAGGACTATATAAAGGATCCTATCCTAGAGTTTTCTTTCTTCCTTTTCCTTCTCTCTCTCTATACTTAGTATTCTTATTAAAATATACTCTTTTATTTAAAGAACTAGCTAGTAATATAAAACTAAGTACCACTCTTATTCTAATAAAGTAGTATAACTATATAGACTATTATTATAGTTAGTCTTGGTCCCACTTTACCCCACTTTTATTCCTTAGTATTATATAGCTAAGACCTAATCTAACCTAAAACCTAAACCTAAACCTAATATCCGACTAATTAGAATAGCTAGATCGAAGTAAAACCTAGCTACTAGTTATAGTAAGTAGCCTATCACTATATCTAATAAAGAGGGTAGTAATAAGTAAGAGATAGTTACTTATAACCTAAATACCTTAATCCCTAAACCGTAGAGACTAGTTAGTGCTAGTAAATATAAAGAAGATAATAATAATAATAGAGAAGGCTCCTCTATTTATAAGTGACTATAGAAGACCCTAACTTATAAACAATTTTATAAACTTACCTATAAATACTAGAACTTAAGAAAGAGAGTCTAGGAATTAGGGGATAAGTTAGCTATCCTATATTCTAATAAGATTAAGGCTAAGATAATTATCAAGACACTCACTTAGGAGTGAGATAAGGTAATCACCTACCAAGATATCGCTATCTATAAATATAGTAATCTTACTTTCCGCCTTATAAATCTCTAGAACTAGACTAGTACTAGTGTACTAATTATAGATGCCACTACTACCTAAAAGTCTATAAAGATATCTAACACTCTAATACTTAGCGATAGTAAAGAAGTCTAATTTAAAGTATAGGAAACTATTATCTAATAAACTTAAAGTGAATACTAATTACTACCTATTACTAGTGTACTATAAGCTCTATATATAGAGTTATTATAAAGGGAAGGCCTAGTTATATATTAGACCCTAAATAAGCTCTAAGTTAAGTAACCCCTATATAGACACTAAGGATATAATTATCTATTTAAAAACTATTTTTATAAATCTAAACTAATATACTAAAGCCTATACTATATACTATAAATTAATAATAAAGCTAAAGGATAGTTTTACTGATTTCCTTACTAAGTTTATATAGCTTATAGAAGAAGCTACTAGAATTAAGGAGAACTATAAGTGTGATTTATACTTAAAGCTACTATATCTACTATAGAGCTAGATAATATAGGTAGTTAATTAGGAAGCTATAATATTCGAATCTTTCTTTAAGACTTACTAGAGTATATCTTATAAGATTAACCTCTAGTAGGAGGTAAAGACTACTTCCTATATATAATCTACTATTACTCCTAGTAGTAGTATAGGAATAGGATTAACTATAAAGTTAACCTTTACCCCCTATATAAAATATAAAGAAAGCTTTAACCCTAGAAGGCTCTTAAGTACTAAGTAGGATATCCTAATAAAAGAAGGTTAATAATTTAACTATAAGGAATAAGGATATATAACCTATAACCGTGCCAAGCGCCCAACACACCGTGGGTGTATTGGTGCGCCCCACAAGATAACAATTTTTCACAGGATCACAAATTTCAAATTGTTATTCTATGAAAACCACTATTTACACACCACCACCAATAGTATCAATATACCAATTGACACCTATATGATCTCTGGCAGCCATTCTAGCCTCATGCTTAGTTTCAGCTAAATCTCTCGCCAATTGGTCCTGTCGTTGCTGTTCCAAAAGCTTAGCTTGTTTTTCTTGGAGCCGGATCAACTTCCTAGACTCGGCCTCATCCCTTTTCGCCATCATTTTATTTGCACAAATAGGCGATAATATCGAGCGCCGAGTACCAAGAATCGACTTATTGTTTCTTGGTTTTTTTGCTTTAGTTTGGTGGTGTTAAGACTTCCGTAAACTATCTCTTATAAGATCTAGTTCTTAGGATAGAAGGGTATTTGCCTATATACTCCGCTGGATATACCGTTTCAATTGACTTAAAATAGTATTTATATCCTCGAGGTCCTTAATAAGCTTAAGATTAAGCTTATTTACTCGCTAGATAGTATCTAGCGGCGAGTTAGTGGCTGAACTGGAGATATCTAGGGGGGGTGATAGAGTGAAAATCCTAAGGGGGGACCCTTCTGATTCAAGCGCCTTTTGACGTAAAGGACTAAGAACTGCTTCTGGATCTAGGGGATAAATACCCCTAGATTTAAATAAAGATCTTATAGTTCTCTGGGTATATACCTACTCCCATACACCATGGATCATCCTAAAAAAATCCCACTTTTTGCTAGCACTTCCACCCTATATAACAACCTCAGTATTTTCAGAACGGAACTAGTGTTTTAGGCATTAGAAAGCCTAGCCATTAAGTGGTTAGTAAAGGTATATTATATAGGGTAAAAAGAACATTAGGATAATGTTTTTCTCTATACAAAAGGTAATAAACTCGATGGTTTTATAAGATCTATAATTATCTATTAAAAGAAGCCGAGGCCTCCCTTTTTAGATCCGAGAAATAGTAGCTTTATAGAAAGAGAAAAGCCATTTAAGAGCTATTTCATCATCAGTCTAGCCATTAGGTATAGGCTTGATTCGAAAATCTAGTATAGTGATATTTTCATACCACTCTACCATATAGATACTACCCTTAGGTAAAAACCAGGGTAGCATAACCCAGCTATCGGCAGTAATACATTCAATAGCAGTAATTGATTCAGCTTAGCCACTAGTAGGTAGATTACTAGTTTTTCTACTAGTAATCACCTTACGTTTCTTCCCTTAGCCAAGTTGGAAGCCAGTCTCGTCCCAATTGTAGATCTCATAAGGTAGGAATTGATGCTCCTTTATCACCTAAGATAGGTGATTATACCAGAGAAATAAAGGGCCAAATTGCTCACTATCAATCCTTACTTTCTCTTTAGGAGTTTGGGTAATATAACTAAATTTTTAGGGTAGCTTTTGGATGAAGCGGTACACCCAATTATGGCCGACAACCCGATCTGAACCCGCTATTTTCAATAGGCGATTAGCGGCCTTTTCCACAAGATCCGGGCTAGGATCTATATAGGCGGAATTGAGAGTATTGATCAAAGAAATCAATGCTTTTTCTTGAATTGGATTTAGGGCTTTGGTTGCTTTGGCACGGTCGGAATTGCTCTGGCGACCACGTACTCGGCCCCTCAGCACTTAGTAGGAGATATCAAAATCCCTGGCTAATTTAGCTAGGTTGGGTTTGCTGGATTCATGGAAGATTTTAACTGCCTCCTTGATTCGATCCTCGCTATTTTTGATTTGATTTGATATTGTGGTGTAGTATAAAATTGTATGGGAAGTTGATTTTGAATAGAAAATTTGTTATCTTGTGGGGCGCACCAATACACCCACGGTGTGTTGGGCGCTTGGCACGGTTAACTATCTAAAGAAGAAGCTAGTTAGTACTATTACTATAGCTTAGCTTTCTCCCTATATTATTAAGCTTGATAATAAGAAGGATAATAATTAGGGAAAAGTTAATACCTAGGTTAAGTCTCCTACCTAGGTAGATAGAAGGTATTACTATACTTACTAGATTTATATAAGTTAATTAGAGATCCTGGGGATAGTTTAGTTTTTAATACTAGACTAATATATAATAGATACTCTTTTTCTATTTTAGCGCTTAGTAATATTAGAGTAAATAGATATATATTCTTAAACTAAGAGTTAAGTATACTTCTTAGTGAATAATTTATTAAAAGTAGAAAATATAGGATAGGAGTATCTTATTTAAGGATTTAATAGAAAGTTTAGTAAGTTAATAATATATATTACCTTTCTTATAATATATATAGATAGTAGGATATAGTAGTAAGTTCTAATATTAATCGCTAATCTTAGAAAATATAATATAATCCTTAGAAGAAAATAGTTTATAGATAATAATATCCTATTAGATTATTATTGATACTAAATAATCTAGCTAGATAAGAAGACTCTCTTTAATAAGGTATTAAGTAAGATAGTAATACTAACACTAACTACTATTCTCTAGAGACTAAAGCTAAACCCTAATTATTAAGCTAATATTAACTAATAAGACTATCTTTTTAGCTAAAAGGAATTAGAAATAGAGGATAGCTATAGATATACCTAGGAATAATAGTATAGACACTAGTAAATTAAAGAATAATAAAAGATAGGTTATAACATAAATAATAGGAGTAAGATAGTAGTCTTAAAGACTTAATAATAGGATAAATTACTAATAATCAATATAAGTGCTATTAGAGGTATTAGTTTTAATAGACTCTATAAGAAAGGGAAGGCTAATAGAGAAATTAAAACCTTTATCACTTCGCTCTATAAGATTAACTATATTATTAAAGTAAAGAGTATATAGACTTAGGACCCTAAAATTAATTAAATCCTAAGGACTCTTCTAAAAGAATACTATAACCTAGTAGAAGTCTTTTCGAAGAAAAAATCTAATAAGTTACTACCCTATAGACCTAGTCTAGATTATAATATTATTCTTAAAGTAGAAGTGTAACCTAGATATTATCCTCTCTATAAGCTATTACTTAAAGAGTTAAAAGTAGCGAAGAAATATATCCTTAATAATCTTAAAAAGGATTTATTATTCTAAGTTTAGCTCTATATATATCCCTAATCTTAATAGTAAAAAAACCTAATAGGGGACTTTAATTCTATATTAATTTCTAGAGATTAAACGTAATTATAAAGAAAGACTATTACCCTCTACCACTAATTAATAAGGTACTATAATAAATAAGTAAGGCTAAGATCTATATAAAGCTTAATATCTAGTAAGGTTTCTACTAAATTTATTTAATACTAGAGGTAGAGGACCTTACTATATTCTATATAAGATATAGATCCTTTAAGTATAAAGTAATACTATTTAGATTAATAAATAGTCCTATAACTTTTTAAAGATTTATAAATAACATTCTTTAGGAGTACCTAGATAACTATATAGTTACTTTTATAGATAATATCTTAATCTATAGTAAGAACGTTAAAGATCACTAGCGATAGATTAGAGAGATACTTAGTTATCTACAAAAAGTAGGGTTATAAGTTTCCTTACTAAAATCTAAGTTCTCTATAAAGAAGACTAAGTTCCTTAGGTTTATTATAAGCACTAATAGTATAGCTATTAACCTAGAGAAGACTTATATAGTCTAATTATAGATAGTACTAAATATAGTAAAAGGAGTATAGTTATTCCTAGGATTCTATAATTTCTACTAATAATTTATTTAAGGATATAGTGTAATTTTAAAGTTATTATATTAATTAACGAGATAGGATATCCTATTTAAGTAGTTAAAGAACTATAAAAAGGTATTCTAAACTCTAAAGAGGAAGCTAGTTAGTGTACTAATCCTCTAGTACTATAATCTAGCTTAATAGACTTAGGTTAAGATAGATATATCTAATAGAGTTCTAGGAATAGTACTTTCTTAGTACTATAAGAAGGAAGATTTTTAGTATCTAGTGGTATTCTATTTAAAGATAATATAACCTATAGAATTAAATTATAAAGTATATAATAAAGAGCTCCTTATAATTATTTATATTTTATAGGAATAGAGACCTAAGCTTAAAGGTCTATCTTAGAGGAATTATTTTAAGATCCTTATAGATTATTAGTTACTTAAGTACTTTATAATAACATAATAAATAAACTAATAATAGGTAAGGTAGAGTGAATTCTTATCCTAATTCTATTTTATAATTAAATACTATCCTAGGAATAAGAATATTATTACTAATATTCTATTATAAAAGGAATCTCCTTATATAGATAATAGATAATAATTTATAATACTCCTAAAGGACTATCTTAAAGAAGGAGTCTATCTAACTTATTTAGCTCTAATCTACTTAGAAGAAATAGAGATAGTTAAGATTATTAAGTAGATAAAAGAAACTAAGTATTAGAGCTTAGAGCTAAATAAATTCTATCTAATAGTATAGAATAGAAATAACTCCTAATAGATATTACTAGATAGGCTACTCCTTTATAAAGGGTAACTTAAGGTCCCTAATAAAGGAGATCTCTATATATACTTATTTAATAAAATACACTATTAGCTACTAACTATATATCCTAAAGTTAAGAAACTAAAGAAACTAGTGTCTATAAGATACTACTAGTATAGATAGGTAACTAATATAAAGCGATATATTAATAACTATCTAGTCTATAAATATATAAAGGCTTAGAGAGACTAAATACCTAGATTACTATAACCTCTCCTAGTCCCTAAGAGACCTTAGTAGTATCTCTCTATAGATTTTCTATTTATTCTCTAAGGATTATTATAGTTATAACGCTATCTTTATTATTATTAACTAACCAGCCCTTATATTTTTTTACAAAAATTATAGACCCTCCTTATAGAGGGTCCGCCACCTATATAAAAGGGATTACCTATATAAAAGATTTTTATTAACCTTACTTTTAACTACTATTTACTATATAACCTATATATAAATTAATTAATATTATAATATATATTAATAGATTAGATACTAAATTACTAAAATATTAAAAAAGAAATTAATTATTTCTATACTTCTTAGCCCTTCTATATCTCCTAATCTCGACTAAAAACTTCTTCTATTTCCGCTGAGTCTTTTCTTAATCGGCCTTTTTAGTTAATTTATACTCTTTTCGCTTTATCTCTTTAACTTAGGATAAATTAATAATACCACTAATTTAAATATAATAGCGAGAAGTATTATATCTAGTGTGGTGAGTACCTATAATAGCCTATATCCGATCGAATTCT